TCCTTTTTCTGGTTATTTGGCTATAACTTGTCATAGAATACAGTACGGATAATTGAACAAACTTTGTTGCATTACATTCTTGATTAAATTATCTTTCCATTGGTATATAATTTTATGGTACTACTCCAAAAAAAGTGGTGTTATTAGCCATCAAACCTCAAAAATACACTTTTCCCAAAAGGTTTCCACAATTTTGGCCACTACTGTGTATAGTCTTGAGGAATGCCAAATCAATCAAAAGGTTGGCCTTTAAGTACACATGTTGTTCAGCCTGGAGCAATTTGATCTGCAGGTAGACTTACTCCAAAATTTCTGTTGCTAAGTGAGACATTTGTTAACCGAATTTTGCCTCATTTTACGACCTTTCTTGCCACAGTTAAGTGAATCACTGCTGTTGCTAAGTTAGTAACATGGTTGTTAAGTGAATCTGGCTTCCCCATTGACTTTGGTTGTCATAAGGTTGCAAATGGGGGAATTGCATGACCCGGGACACGGCAGCCGTCATAAATATGAACCAATTGCCGAGCATCTGAATTTTGATCATGTAGCCCTGGGGATGTTGCAGTGTCATAAGTATGAAAAAACGGTCATAAGTCATTTTTTTCAGTGCCCTTGTAACTTTGAATAGTCACTAAGAGAACTGTTGTAAGTCAAGGACTAGTTGTATTAGCAATGATTGCTACTTAGAATAAATAAGGTGAATTGAATCATGTCTAGCACCAAGCTGGAGGAAACAGCAGATTGCTTTGAGTAAGAACACAAACTTCTGAAGTATTTTTAAATTATATATATCATTTATTGAAATATAAAGATCTTAATTTACATGTTCTTAAAGACAAAAAAACATAAGAAAAGGGGCAGTTGTATTACATTTTTGTACCTTTAGTCACTCTTCCAGCTTCATGTTCCCAAACATTTCCCAAAACTACCACCCGGAACGCTCTTATGCGCTTTTCCTTATCATTCCTTATCTAAAATATAAAATTTGGACATTTAAAAGTGCAACAGTTAGCGTGCCTGTGGAATATATCACAGTAAAAAAAAAAAATATTAACAAAGGCAGTGATACAGCTTGTCATAAATGTTTTGGCAGTACTCCTCAAAATTGATATAAAAATACCTATATACATATTGATGTATAACATCACCTTATCTTATGTCCTTCATTATATCATAGGACTGTTTTGTATAATTGCAGACATTTTAAGGGATAGGTCAGCCATTCTAACCAAGAAAGTCGTATTTCACAGGCAGATTTGATTGTCATGTATATATGGAACAGACAGAACACACCGGGCATGTCATTTTTTTGAAAGCTCCCTGAATCTGAGCCATAATGTAGAAATTAGTCGCCATAATTTTCATCAGCCACTCTATTACTAAAATCCAGTGCAATCCTAAATACATCAACTAAAAAAAAAACGGCTCCATTTAATTCTGTGGAGCTGACTGTCACGTAGGACTGCAATCTAACTGCAAAAAATAGCTCTGGGATTGAGGTTGACTTAAGGTTTTTTTTGAATGTGCAGTCCATTGCCGTATCTGGAGCTATAATTTTCAGAAGATTATGACAATAAGAAAGATTTTGGTCCATATCTAAATCTTGGTCCCATAATAAGTATTGCCCAAAAGCATGAAGCATGGCAAGCAAGCGAGAGCAGAGAACAGCATATAGTACGTACCAATTTGCACTATAATGCAAAAAGGAATTAAGGTCAACACGGACACATTTATGTAGCTTTCTAACTGATCTCCCTTCCTTCCGCCGCGCCCTCAAGACGTGGTTGTTCCAGCAAGCGGGACTGGCCTAGGGGATTTTATAGGGGTTTTAATTACTTTTAATTGGACACTTTCAAATATTTCGTTTTAATTAAATTTTAATTAGGTGTAATATGTATTTATGTTAGCTTTTTATCATCTGTCAGCCGCCCTGAGTCCGAAAGGA